GTAGACCCAAGTCAGAAAACCAGGAGTCAAATCCCAGTCCTTCCATTTATATTACTAGCTATGTGACTTAACATCAGTGACCTCAACAGTACCATGGGGAAGGAGCACTCACATATGCATATTAATACAGATATATGTATAACTTATGTATTAGGGTACCTCTTCTTAGAGGCCACTAATTCTGTGACATGAACCCTGGCAGGGACCTATCAGGCTGCTACATGCCCACTGATTGAAGGAAATGAAACACTGCTTGTCTTCACTTTTTGTCCCTGACACTTTCTTCTGCCTACATGGGCCCTAATAAGCTAACTGAAGAACTGGCTGTCTTTACGTTTAACCATCCCCTAGGTCTGTTAGATTTAAAGTTCTTCTCTCAAAGTCATGCAGAACTGAATTAGTAAAGGACGGAGCAATTTGTGCTGAGTGATTTAATAAAGGGATAGCTGAGCAGTCAGGGAGTCATTGTAACAGGATGGGGGGCGGTTCCTGGAAGAGGTGACATTGAGGTTGGCCTCTGGAGGTACAGACTAGGGCCGCAGTGGAGAGAGGGGTAACACGGGCAATGGCAGGGGCCCGAGGTTCAGGCCGTGTTCACAGAACTGTGACAGGGCACAGGGCATTGGGGGCTTTTAACTGGGACATCAAATGGGAAATGTATGTTGGGTCTAGATGGAGAAGGAACTTAAATGCCAGGCTAAGGAGCCCGGACTTCAGCCTGTGAGCCGTGGGTAGCTGTTATGGTTCTGATCACAGCAAACGTTCTTGGTGCCATGGCACGTTGGAGCGGAAGGAACCAGATGACCTGTCCAACTGTTCCCTTTTACTGAGGCCCAGAGAAAGTGACTCTACTGAGATCACCCTGCTGGTCCACAGAAGAATCTGGACTGCAACCCAGGTCTTGCGACTGTCTCAATCTGCCGCTCCGCGCTGACTCCTTCCTTCCACAAGCCCCCTAGTGCTGCACCATATGCTCTCCAGCGGGTCCACGGGTCCATGATCAGTTCCCTACTCTGAAGCCCGTGACTTGGGAAGGTGCCTTAAAAGATCCTTCTTCTTAAAAAAAAATACTATCCCATCCTTGAGCTGAAGAAAGTTATTGCCAAACAAATAAAAAGGTGCAAAACTTCACTCATAACTCTTTTAAAAAGGCAAATCAATGGGAGGCTGAGGCAGGAGGATCTCTTGAGCTCAGGAGTTCGAGACCAGTCCGAGCAAGGGTGAGACCCCGTCTCTACAAAAAATAGAAAAATGAGCTGGGTGTGGGGGCGCATGCCTGTAGTCCCAGCTATTCGGGAGGCTGAGGCAGAAGAATCGGTGAGCCCAGGAGTTTGAGGTTGCAGTAAGCTGTGATAATGTGACTAGTAACTAGCCCAGGTGACAGAGCGAGACTCTGTCTTGAAAAAAGAAAAAAAATCAAAACAACGAGACACTATTTTTCATCTAATAGACTAGCAAACTTTGATAGTGCCCATAGTTGTTCAGGGTGTGGCACGGTGGGCTGTCTCATACCCCATTGGTAGGAGTCTAAACAGGGGCAGGCTTTTGGAAAACAATCTGGCAACATCCATAGAAATTACAACTGTGCCTACCTTTTTTCCAGTTACTCCAATTCTCGGAATTTATTCTATGGCCCTACTTGATCAAGTGTGCAAAAATGTTGTTAGAGGAATGTTTATTGCAAATATTTGTAATTGTGAAAAACTGGGGGAAAAACTAATTGCTCACCAACAGAGTCTAGTTATTATATATCCATTCTAAGAAATAATGTGTACTAGATTTCTGTGTGTTGACAGGGAGAATACTGAAGACATAGGAGGTGAAAACAGGCAAGCTGGAGAGGATTGTGGATAGTACGACTCCCTTTTGTGGAGAAGAATAAAACACACGCATGCTGGAGTATACACAGAAAATTTCTAGAAAGATGCACAAAGACAATTAACAGTGGTTATCTTGGGGGCGAGGGACGGGAGGGAGAAGGGAGAGGACTGTTTGGACTCTGTGTCCTTCTGTATGGCTTGAATTTCTTCCTTCCTTCCTTTCTTTGTTTCCTAATCCCTTTCTCTCTCTTTTGCCGCTTCTTTTTTTAAAAACTATGAGCATGTATTATTTTTATAACTTAAAAAATATTTTTAAAATAAAGGTTATTGCCAACAGCTCATAGAGACAGATTTTAATTTCTGTTTTGGAGAACTAAACAATTCTGTATTCAAATTCACAAAGTGGAGTCAAAGTTTTTTATTACTACATCTAAGGTCTAATAACCTCGGGCCCTTCCTGTTCTTGTTTTTGGTTTCATGGTTTGATATTTCTTCATTCATCCCTTTTGTGTGTGTGCCTACCACGCATCAGGCACGAGGCCCTCAGTGGATGTCCACAGAGCACTGCGAGGGCTGTACCCACTCAGGACACACTCGCTGGCTGTCTCCCACGTAGATACCAGGCACTGGGCACATAAAAAATGAAAGCAGCCCAATTCTTGCCCTCCCTGGAAACGGTCAGACTACGGTGGAGACAGCCACACACGGGAAAGCCCATTTAACAAACAGAATGTGGTAAACGTGTGATAGGTGATGTGGAAGGTGCCAGTGGGTCACACAGGACATCTCGCCCCGCCTGGAGGGTCAGGGAGGCAACTTGGAGGAACCCAGAGAGTCTGGAAGTTCAGTGGAGTCTGCTAAGCACAGTGGGGAGGAGCAGGGAGTGGGGCCGGGGTGACTCTTGGGCGTGAGCGTTTGGTACAGCAGGATGGCACGGGACGCGGAGCCGTTCATTTACACACCCATACCGTGTTCAGGAGTTTGGACTTGATCGCGAGTGTGACAGAGTGACATGAAATCTGTGTTCTGTGAAGGTCACCCTGGCCACAGTGTGGAGACGGGTTAGAGGAAGAAGAGGAAAGGCAAAGGGTGACTGTCCCAATGGTTTGCACCACATCTATGGACGACCTGTGCCATTATTAATATTTTTCTTAAATGAGTTCGCTTTTAAGATATAATGATTTAAACAGAAAACGGGTGAATACGAGAAAAGAACAGGCTGCGCGTCTCCAGTGCTGTACCCGGGGTTAGAGGACAGCCCCGGAGAGGGCGGTGAGAAGCGAGGCTGTGGTTGCTGATCTGCGCCTGAGCGCAGAGCACACGGAGCAGAGGGGCCGCTGGCGCTGCGAGAAGGCCAGCGCTTGCTCCTCGTTTCTCCTCCTCGCCTCGGCTTTGCGCTCCCCTTCCTGTCTCTTCTCCCTCCCAGCCGTTCCCTGTCGGAGGCTCCAGGATCCAGCGTCACTCCCATGCTCTTTCTGTCCTCACTGCCGTGGGGATTCACCCATCCCAGGGCTTTACATTCCACCGGGACGCGCATGATGCCCAGAAGCGCAGCCTCAGCCCGCACTTCTCCCGCGCGCGCCGCCGTCTCACGTCCCGCAGCGCCCCCGACCACCCGCTGGGCTCGCCAGTGCCCCTGGAGCTTGGCACACCCCAAACCTTCCACACCTGCCGTCTTCCTATCCCAGGATGGCAAATCATCCCTTCCAGTTCAGCGGGAAAGCTCGTGGTCGTCCTAGACTCCGTCTTTCTCCCACACCCATTTCCCATTTGCAGGAAATCCCGTTGGTTCTAGCGTCAGAACACACACAGAATGCGACCACTGCCCACCGCTTCTCTACCACTGGGCCGCGCTACCATTCTCTCCTGCCTGCATCATGGCAGTCGCCTCTGACCTGGTCCCCGCCGCAAAGCGACCAACTACTTTAAAACACAGGTGAGATCATGTCACTGCCCAACGCGTCCCCTCTCACCCAGCGTAAACACGAAGGTCCTTACCGAAGCCCGCAAGGCCCTGCACAGTTTGCTCCCCCGCGCCCACTACCCGTCCGCCCTCCAGCCGCGCCGGCCCCCTCTGGTCCCCGCGCGCTGGCTGCCACACAGGCGCCCCCGCCTCGCGCCTCTGCCTGCACCGGTCGCCCCCAAGTGCTTCCGAGCTGCGACCTCCCCTCCTCCAAGTCTGACAACCGGCTCCACCCCACCGCCCCGTCGGCCGCTCCGCTGTATTTCTGCGCAGAACTCGCCGCTTCCTAACATACCGCACCGTTTACTTGTTTTGTCCGTTGCTTGTTACCCCAACCGGGACGCTGGACAAGGCAAGAAACTTGCCTGGCGTCGGGGCTGGGTCTCTCTCCAGGTGTCCGCTGAGCGAGAGCGCAGACCCGGGAGAAGAGAGGAGCTCAGTCCGGAAAGGGCAATTCGGGTTGGCGCGGTGCAAGTGAGCGGGGGCGGGTGGCTGGGGGCTCCGGGGGGCTGAGCCCCTCGGGGCCTGCGGGGCTGGGGGGGGCGCCTGGGGAGAAGGCGGCTCCGCGAGGCGGTGCGACCGCCGCGCAGTGCGGCGGGGTTAGGAGGCTGCGGCAGATTTCCAGTGCCTGTCACGGAGTGGACAGCACGAGGGATGAGTAGGAAATTCTAACCAGACACTGCGAGGCGCAAGGAGAAAGGAAAATTTGCAGACATTTCTCGGGAAAAGCCGCGGGACTCGGGGCGTGACCGGCGGCGCGAACCGGCTGGCGAGAAGAGCGCGCGTGGCGGGCCCCCGCCTGGCAGAGGCGCCCCTGTGGCGGGCAGGGCGCGGGCGTGTGCGGGGCTCTATCTCCGCAGCCGCTGAGGGCCGGGGGCTCGGGAGGCAGAAGGAGGATCCGCGGCGCGCGCCCGTCGCGAAGCGGCGTCTCTGGAACGCGCGCGGAGGGCCGGAGGGCGACAGGGGCGCGCAGGGCACGACCCCAGGCGGGCGCCGAGGGCTGCGAGCCGGGCACGGCGTCCGCACAGCCACGCGGGTCCCCGCCCGCGCCGCTCGGCCCCGCCAGCCCCGCCCCGGCGCCCCGCTCGCCGGCCAATCAGGCGGCGCGGCCGGCCTCCCGGCTCCGAGGCCCCGCCCCGGGCCGGAGCGCCGCCAGCCAATGGGCGGCCGAGCCCGGCGCCCAGTGCGCGCAGCCGGCGCTGAGCGGGCTCAGAGCGAGAAAAGCGAACCTAACCCGTCGGGGCCGCCGCTCCGGACCCGCCGCCCGCCGCCTCCCCCCGGATCGGGTGTACTGTCCCAACTCGAAAGTCCAGTTCTGCGGCCCGGCAGCGGCGAGAGCGCGATGACACAGGAGTACGACAAGTGAGTGAGCGCGGACGCGGAGTCCGGCGCCGCGGGGCCCGGCCGAGGGGCCGCCGCTGCCCGCTGGGCCAGCCGCACCTGCCGCGAGCGAGCCCGGCGCCGGCTCGGTCCCGGCGGGGCGGGCAGGTGCGGCGGGCGGGCGCCGGGCGGGCGGGGGCGGCCGGCGTCAGCCCTGCGCCGCCGTGGCCTCTGCCCCGCAGCGCTCCCGCTTCTTTGTTCGGTCGGAGCCTCCGGGGAGACCCTTGGCTCGGGAAACTCGAAACCGAAGAGCCCACCTCCCTCCTCTTCCTTCTCCTGCGGTCGGGCGCGCCCCTCAGGGTGCGGGGCGAGATTGGGGCTGCGGACCCCGCACGGGACCTCTCCGCCTCCCTGGGTCGCTGGGCCCCCTTGGTCTAATGGATCTCTTTGACGCGCACTCCTTGGCGGGACAGGTAGACTTCAGGTAATCTGTTGTCGCGCAACTTCGTCACCCGGATACCTGCCAGAACTTCTAGAACAGAGAGAGATTTAGGGAAAGGTTGAAGTGCCCTGGTGTCCTGGCATTTTCTTTTCCCAGGCTGGCTGTGTGAGTGAGAAGACTGCTGTAGGAGTTATTTTGCCACTTGCATCATTGATGGTAGTTACAGATTACTGTTTTTAATGCTTAGAAATATCAAGAGGATCAACTTTGAAATCAGGGTGACAAACTAGACAGTACTGTACAAAGTAACATGCCTCTCAGAGTTCATGATTTTAAAAAGTATGTTTACAAATGTAAGGTAGTAGTGTAAGATGCGGTAATGTAAGACATTAGGGGAACTTAGGTGAGGGATATTTCTGTATTTTCTTTGTAGCTTTTCTAAATATAAAATTGTTCTAAAAAAACTTAGTCAAAAAAAAAAAAAGAAGAAAGAAAAATAACATCAAGCCAATCAGTGTATTTCAGGTCAGTAAATCCAGGGCAGATAAGTACCCCTCCCAGTTTCGTAATTATTTGTTAGGGATCGTCTTAAGTGTGCTCTTTCTCTGGATGAGAAGATTAGGTATTAGATATGGAGTGTCTTAAATGCATTATTGTAGAATATGCAATTCAATTATTGCATGAACTGTATCTCAGAAGTCTGAGAGATCATTGAGGAAGGGTTTAAGGCTCACCTGAAAGTAACAAGGAGGCTTTAGGGACTACAGCCTACTTCCTGACTGTCATGAGGAAGTAGACTGAAAAAGGCAGCTGGTTTTATGTTTATTTCTTGGCCTATAGTTTAGATAAGGCAAAATTTCCAAAGCTAACACTTTGGCCTAAGGCACACTTTGGAAATTGGAACACCTTCAGGGTGATCCCAGACATAAAGCCATTTGAAAAATATTTATTTTCTGTTGCTTGTACAAATTTGGGTTGGGATGAGAGAAGAAGGGAAGCTGAAAAACTAGCATTACGGGAATTGAATGAGCCAAGTGCTGTCATAGTCTTCTGGAAGTAGCTATTACATATTAATAATAGCTTAGCAATACGCCAGTGAGTCACCCCAAGGTACCACTGGTTCAGTGGCTGTTATACTCTGGGCCTGATGGCTCGGGGAATGCCACTTTGTGTATTTCTTTATTTTCTTAAAATTTGAGATTTGTATAAACTCCATTTTTAAACTATCTGCTTCGAACAACCTTTTGTGTTTGTTTTGTGTTAAGATAGTATACCACCTCAAGAATTCTTTTCTTACCAGTTGTAAGCTAGGATTTTACACTTAGGTATAAGTAAAAACTTTGGCTTTGAAATAAGAATTCATTTTGACTGAGGATAAATTAAATTGTTGGATTTTTTTCCCCCATTTTTCGAAGATGTTCTCCTTTTTCTAAATCTGTATCTGTTTTTAAAGGGCCTGGGTGATGGCCAAACCCTAACCTTTGTTGATTACTTAAAAAGATAATCAGTCTTTCTACCTTCACTTTTAAAATAGGTAGGTCACCCTTAGGCCGTTTGCATGTTTCATTAGTGTGTTGCAATGAGAACTGATCTTTAAGTTTGCTTGTTATTAATTCAGGGTAGTTCCAACCATTTAAAATTTATTTTTTCTTTTAAAGAAACTGCTTTGGTTTGCTAGAGTCAGTATTCCATTTTTTCACTTTATTGACTTATTAAATAGTACCAACTGAATAGTTATTGCAACTGTTTACATTTCAGGTTTTTGGAATCAGTAATGTTTGCTTTAATCTTTTAAATTAAATCTTCTATAAGGCTTCACTAAGATTGCCATAGATTTTTTCCACTAAACTACAGTGTTAAAATGAAACAGTTCTTGCCTAGTGTAAAAAACTAGAAAAGATTTTTTAAAACAGGGTTTCCCACCTATTTTTTTAAAAAATCTTTTTGCTCAGTGGCTTCATTTATTGTTGTAGATTCTTAAGTGTTTATCTCTAAGATAAACAGTTAACTCCCATGCCAGAAAATTATGCTTCTTTATTGATTTACAGTCCCCTTTGGCCACATTCCATGCTCAATCTCCTGGTAATCAGTAGAATATTCTAACTTTCTCATATACCCCCAAGGATTAAATGAAGTATCCCATTCTCTTTCTGCCCCTCCTCCCTCCTCCCTGTTTTTAGGTAAGAAATTTTTTAAGGCATGGCATCCACAGGAGAAAGAGAGAAATAACATGTAGCAGCATGATGAACCTTATTATATACTCTCCTGAAGAGGGTACAGTCCTCATTGTGTGTTTGAAGAGAATAAGTGTTCTGTTTTGCCTTACTGTGTTCTTGTGTTTGTTTATGTAAAGAGTTGAATAGCCTGGCATTTTCTTGCGGGTGGTTTTGTTTTGTTTTGTTTTTGCCAAATACTATATCCTGGGTTCCATGTATAAGTTAACTGCAGGTTCCCTGGCTGCCTAAATACCTTTTATCTTACTGGGGGATCCATGGGTCTACATTTAAGTGGTTTGTCTTCCAGTCTTGTCTTAATTTGACTTACTAGGATCGTTGATGAAACAATAGTCCATTTTATAGGAATGTCAAGAAATTGGTTGTTAGGTTCTTTAAAAATTAGCTATGATGCGTGCCTTGCAGGAGAAAAGTATGATTTTTTTCTTTTTTGATTTCTCTGAAGCAAACGGCCAGTGTTGGTTCTTCAGAATGAAGCACTTTATCCACAGCGGCGCTCCTACACCAGCGAGGATGAGGCCTGGAAATCTTTCCTGGAAAACCCTCTCACTGCAGCGACCAAAGCGATGATGAGCATCAATGGAGATGAAGACAGTGCGGCTGCGCTGGGCCTGCTCTATGACTACTACAAGGTCGGTTTGCCTGCTCTGTGACACCCTTACCAGTCTCAGAGGCACCTGATTCAGCAGTGTATAAAACAGTCATTTGCTGGTAGAATGTAATACAAGTTGCTTCTGTAGTGGCTATAAATAGTTTAATGAGTACTTTGATTTACTGTGGTTCAAAGCTGAAAATCTAGGATCATAGAATCAAAGGGTTGTTTTTAAAACGTGTGAAGCAGCCAGTTGCTCTGGCTCTATCTGAAAGGTGAAGCTCCCATAAATGAAGAGGGTAGATGTGCCTTACTGGGTTTGAACATTTTAGTGAAGGTAGTGCTTAGTGCCGTGAACAGTGGCTAGGGCTAAGTTACCTGTGCTCTAACCTTTGTTCCTATGCTGTCAGGTTGATTTCCGGTCCCTTAAATGATATTACAGAGCCTGTGATTTGATTTGATTTGATTATAGGATTCATTAAAAGAAAAAAACCATATTCTCTAATCTGGGACTTTCTAGTTCTCAGATCAGGATCTATTTTGTTGCCTGTTTCTAGAGGTTTGGATTAGTCTTAGTTAAATATAATCTATGATCTGTGTGGATCTCTGCGTAGTTTTCATTATCTGGAGATGACACCAGTGATCTGTCTCAACATCATCATTGTTGCCCTAATAATACGAGCTGCCACTCACTGGTGACCTGTATTGTGCTCGGCACATTACCAGCGTGTGTGTGACTTCTCCTTCTCAGGTCGCACAGCTGGGTTGAGTGCAGCTGGGCTTCCAGCACAGTAGGTGGTCTGCTTTGCCTCTGGATTCACGCTGGCACTCTTCCTTCTACCACTAGCAGATATTTGGGGATGGCCATTAAGAGTGTGGGATACTGTTTAAAACAGACTGAGCTGAAACACAACTTTGCCAGGTGGCCTTTGTCTCACTGCTGTTCGTAACTATTCTGTGTAACCCTTTGTTGTCATCACTACCTGTATAAAGACAGGAACTTTTCAAGATTCCCAGAAGCGCCTTAATGAGAGTGTCTACTTAGGGATATAATATATGTACATTTTACAGTTTATTTTTGCTGTATTTTTGTTTTGAAAACTTTAAAACCTACAGAAAACTTAAAATAACAGGATACTTAACTCCTGAATACCTTTACCTAGATTCACCAATTGCTTGTGTTTCACTACATTTTGGCACTGTATTTTTTCCCTGAATGTAAGAAATAGAAAAGCAAATCAAAGAGGATAGTTGATTATCAAAATTGGGATAGTAACTAAGCAAAATATTTAATTATTTCCTGGTATGATGCCATATGTCCAACTCATGTTTGAGGGATTCAAAGGTTTTTTTCCTTTGAATATGAACAGAAACTTGTGTAATAACTAATGATTCCAGAAGAAACCCTTGCCTGGGCAGCACAGCCATGAAGAGTTCCTTTGAAGTAGAATTTATCGTATATTTGTTTTTATAGATTGTTTTATTGACTTAATCAGTATAAAAACTATAAGTTCCGAACATGTTAATTATGAAGTTACTTTTTTTTTGGAGACAGAGTCTTGCTTTGTTTTCCCAGGTAGAGTGCAGTGGCATCATTGTAGCTCGCTGCCACCTCAAACTCCTGGGCTCAAGTGATCCTCCTGCCTCAGCCTCCCGAGTAGCTGGGACTACAAGCACATGCCATGATGCTGGCTAATTTTTCCATTTTTTGTGGAGACAGGGTCTCACTTTTGCTCAGCCTGATCTCTAACTCCTGAGCTCAAGTGATCCTCCCACCTCCACCTCCCAGAGTATTAGGATTACAGGTGTGAGCCACCTCGCCCGGACTAAGTTAGGTATTTTTAACTGAAACTTTTGAGAATGGGAGAAAACCAGCAAGTTTAGTGACAGAAAGACCAATGTAATAAAAGCTAGTTACAGCGGTCACGTGTGTGTGTGTATATGTATGTTTTAAATAAAATGTCCTAAAAGTGTTTTACAACTCAAGAGGTGATAAATCCTCATGTCTGTCCATGAAGGGTGACAATTTTAGTAGTACTTATTTGTCAGGCTTCTTGTGATAAGTGTAATTTATTTTCTTTTTTAAATGAACCAAATTATTTGTTTCAATTCTTTGGTTGTAAGCATCAGTCATTATTACATAATAACTTTGGTAAAGCTTTGAAAGCACATTGTTAATATATGAAACAATTTATTTTGTCTTTAGTGGTGGAACAGGAACGTAGGACTAGAAGTCTCACATTGAAAACCATTTTCAAGCGTCTTAGCCATTTTGGAGTGCATGTGGGGATTAAGTCTCAGTTCAGTTGATGTCTACAGGACATTCACTAATGTTTGCCTACTTTTCACTTCCCTTGCAAAGAAAAGAAGAATCAAAAAAGAAATAGAACAAACTCAGTTAGATTTGACCTTTGGGTAGCGGACGTATGACTCCCAAAGGATCTGAAGACACTTGTCCTATGAAGCCAGCATTTGGATCTTGGAAGAAATGAACTGTTAACGTGGCTGTTGCTTTTGTTTTTTTGCATTTGATCTGGAAGGAGAGTAGTAGGAAAGAGCAGTGAGCAAGTTGGAAGAACTCAGTTGTGTTTTCAGCAGGTTCTTCTCTGTTATACTTTGTAGGTCAATGGGTAAAACCAGGGCAAAGGTATTTCTTTTAAGAGAAGAAACCCAGACTCCAATGACAAAGTTAATTTGTCATTGAGTTTATTTGACAACTCAGTCCCTTTTTACATATCAACCAGATTGGTGACCAGATTATAAGCTCCTTGAGGGCAGACACTGTCTTATTCTTTGTGTGTCCCTGGAGCCCAGTGTTTGGTAGGAAACCAGTAGATAAATGAATGATCAAGTTTACTGAAAAATAAAAGACAGTATCTTTGGATGAAGTATACTTCACTAGATAAGAACTAAATTCTTTTCATTGTGTTAATATGTAAGGTTCCAAGAGAGAGGAGGTCTTCGACAACAAAGCCAGATGTTGAGCACCCAGAGCCAGATCACAGCAAAAGGTAATGTTTAATTTATAACAACATAGTCTGGTATACTTGAAAAATGACACATTTCTGTAAAAATAAAATGGGAGTTTCTTTAAATGAACAAACACTAGTAGAAGAGATAGGAAAGTTGGACTCTTAATATCTAAATTCAGATTTCATCAGTGATTTCCCTGTGTTGCTCTGATTTGATTCTGTTTCTCTGAGACATTACCTGTTTCTTTGGGCATAGTATTAATAGCTGCCTTTTCTAAAAAAACCGAAAGCACTAACTTTCTCCTCCTGCAAAGGGATGTTTTTAGTAATCAGTGAAGTGTTGCTCATTTGTCTTCGAGGTTCTCTTAAGGAGGTTGTGGCAGTGTTGGGGAGTCCATTAAAAATATTAAATACCAATGACTCTTGAATAACTGCCTGAGTAGAACTTAATAAAATAAGTTACATTGCATTCAAATTCCTGTTGAAATTATTTTTGAAATATTTCAGGTTAAAATTTTTGGAAAGTTTAATTAAGGCTTGACTTTAGCCATGAAAAACTTTTTTTTAAAGATACCTGTTTAAATATCCCAGAATATTTATTAAACCAAAATTAATTTTATGCAGATATATACTGTACAATGTAATAATAGGTTTTATTTTGGTGAAAGAGAAAGCCAAGTAGCATAGGTATTAGGAAAAGTGGTGGCCACATAATAATAGTTCATAGTTCTTGAACACTGTGTCGAGCATTATTACACACAGTTTAGTGTATCATTTCATTTCAACCTTGTAAGGACACCACCACTGTTATCCCCATATTACAGATGAGGATTTGGTTACTAAGAGATGAAGTAACTTGCTCAGGGTGACAGAATTTGAGCCAAGGCAGTCTAACTCTACACTTTAACCCAAACTGGTCAGATCATGTTTGTAGCTTCAGGCTTCTAGTTAAAATACGGTAATTTTTTTTTTAAGGATTATTGAGACTCAAGCTCATTAGAGGAGAGCTCTGAGTCCTCAGTATTTCCAATGAAATTTTGCTTGTTACTTTTAGATTTCACTTGATCTGTAGATGTAAAGTCTGTTTTTCTTTCTCTAGTCATGGGTGGTTGTACTGTTTTCTGTTTAGTTGGTTTCCATCAAGTATAATATTACATAGGACCCAACTGCCCAATGCCAAAATAAAAATTAATAAAAGAAATAAAAATTATCACAGAACTGTATCAGCATCAAGTTCGAAAATGCAGGTTTTCTTTTTTTTCTTCAAGAAACAGCATACCAATAGTGACGGAGCAGCCCCTCATTTCTGCTGGAGAAAACAGAGTACAAGTACTAAAGAATGTGCCATTTAACATTGTCCTTCCCCATGGCAACCAGCTGGGCATTGATAAGCGAGGCCACCTCACAGCTCCTGATACAACAGTCACGGTCTCCATAGCAACAATGCCTACCCACTCCATCAAGACCGAAAGCCAGCCACATGGCTTCGCTGTGGGCATCCCTCCGGCAGTATACCACCCTGAGCCTGCCGAGCGTGTGGTAGTTTTCGACCGGAACCTTAGTACTGACCAGTTCAGCTCTGGTGCTCAACCCCCAAATGCTCAACGGCGGACTCCAGACTCTACTTTCTCAGAGACCTTCAAGGAAGGCGTTCAGGAGGTACAGGAAACAAAACATCTTCCCGAGACGGCTGTGTGTTTGTATAAGTATTGGGTTCCACCTTTTCCTTGTTATGTAAGCTTGAAACTCAGCCTGAAATGAATGGATTAGGAATAAAAGATTTTTTTTTTTAAAGAAAAGGCCCATGGGTATAAATTGTAAACTAAATCTGTGAAACCAGAAATTATTATGAAGAGCACATGGCTAATCTTACCAGCAGCTGAGTTAACAATTATGATTTCAGCTAAGTGATTTGCAGGATAAAGAGAAAGAGAACCCCCTGGCACATAATCTTCCATTGACAACAGATGGATTCGCATTTTCAGCGTTTCTCCTAGACCAAAGCAAGCTTCCCTGCAACTGGTCTTAATATAAAATGATTTATTGCGTCTTTGTTTGGTGCTTCTTGGTTGGTAGTATAGTCAGGGAGACGGGTAGACCACAAAACTATATGAAATTGACAAAGTAATTCCAAATAGTTCTGAAGGTTTTATGATGAGGAGCACCTCACTCAGATGAAAGTTAGGGACTAACGGTGTTTGAAACCGGGTTTAATGTCTCAGTGGGGGAAAAGAGCATTTATCTCTGCTGAGAAAATGCACCAAATCCATCCAGCCATGGTGTGAACTTGATACTGTATTTTAACTTGGTGCAATGATAGGGTGACTCCTAATAATCATGAAATTTTGGTTGTAGGTTGTGGAGATTAAACGGAATTGGGATATGTGAGAAAGATGGAAAAGGGGGGTAGTGAATCCCAAGCGCTCAGTGGGTGCACCTCCATAGGTTGTCCTGATTGATCGAGTGGTATATACAAGTGGATAGTTTCTTTTTTTAATCTTCTTTTTCTTTTTGTTAATTTTAGAAAATTTTTATTTGAAAATGAATATTGAATGGTTAGTGGGTTGCTGTAAGCCACATCCTTTGATGCTGTACCACATGTTGGTCTGTAGTAACGATGATAACCAGTTAAATAGTTGTGGCTCATTACGTTGATATTTCAGGTTTTCTTCCCCTCGGATCTCAGTCTGCGGATGCCTGGCATGAATTCAGAGGACTATGTTTTTGACAGTGTTTCTGGGTAATAGTTGTCTTTTAATTTGCAGCTTTTATGACTTGCTCCTTTTTTGTTAACTCGATAAATCAGAGGTGGCTTTAGTGGGCTTTCACTTTTATCTTGCTGTATTTACTGTGGTAATATCTTGGGTAGAGGACATCTGCTTCAGTGCATTTAATTTTGAACTCTTTGAACTATGTTTCAAGTCTCCTCAATTCTTGGTGTTGGTGCTTTTGCTTTCCTTTATGTGATGGTAGTGGGGTAGAGTCTAACAGGAGAGAGGAGGGGATTAAGTTGGGTCTCTGAGGTCCTTTCTGTTTCCAAAAGTGTATAATTAGGTGAGAATTTAGGAGTAATGTCAAATGAATAAAGGCTTTTATTTTTTTATTAGCCTCACTAATGGTAAAATAAATGAAGTCATGTTTTTCTGAATTGACAACTTTTTAGACTCACAAAATTGTATCTCTGGGAATATGAATATTTTTCCAATTTAATTGGAACACCTTCAGATTTTTAAAAGGTCTAGGGTTTCATTTTATAATTTTTGTTTTATGTGGTTTTTTACATGTGTTCTATTTTGCAGTAGAAATTTTGTTTTTGAATTCTAGAATTTTATGGGAATTATAGACCTGCCTCAAGGTTCAGGAGTCACAAACTGAAATGCCTTTAGGGATTAGGATAGGGGTCAGCAAATGGTTTCTGCAAAGGGTCAGATAGTAACTCCTTTAGGTGTGGTGGGCCCTAGAGCCTCTGTATGTTTTTGCAACTACCCAACTCTGGTGTTGTAGTGCAAAAGCAGCCATCAATAACACATAAACAAATGGTGTGGCTGTATGCTAATAAAAGATTTATTTACAAAAATAGATGTGATTTGCTGACCCCTGGCCTAGGAAGGTTGTTAAATAACTTTAGTGGCACATGTGGGTGGTAGCATTAGGTAATAGAATTGTGGAGTGCCCATCTAAAGACATTTAAGTTATAAGTATAAACAACAAAAAAGTGTTGCGCAGGCCAAATTGAATTTAACTAGAGGACTACCAACCACCTGTTCGCAAGCTCTGCTGCATAAATACCAGATTGGCAGCATGTCTTGTGAAGGTTTCCTTCCAAAGTTCTTTTCATTTATTTGTATCTTTAATATCCTTAGCCCCCAAACATCTAGTTGTTAATATCCATCACGTCATAGAAATTCTAGTTGGCAATTTGTAGTCCCACATCTGAGAGATTTTAGAATTTATAGTTGGTAAGACTTTTGTTTCAGATTTCCTTTAGCGTGAAAAAGTAGCAAATGCTAGTTATAATATGGTGTGGTCAGTTGGATGTTTCCTGGCAGTCTGCTGTCTCAGTACATCCACACTGAAGGACTTCCGGATTGTACTAAAGTGTATAGGAAGCTTCCAGTGAAGTGGATTAGAGATGTATGACTTTTTTTGTCCTTTAGGAACAACTTTGAATATACTCTAGAAGCTTCAAAATCACTTCGACAGAAGCCTGGAGATAGCACTATGACATACCTGAACAAAGGCCAGTTCTATCCTGTCACGTTGAAGGAGGTGAGCAGCAATGAAGGAATCCATCACCCCATCAGCAAAGTCCGAGTAAGTTGTGCTCTGAATTCTGCTCTCTAGGAAGGCTAGTCCGAGCCTGATATTTCCAGGTCTGAAGTAGATGTGAATAAAGGCCTAAAATTACAGTTTTAAGCCTTCTTTGTGAGCTATAACACTAAATAAATTTTCCAAAAGATATTCACCCTGTAGTTTCTTTACATTGCAAAATATTCTCTCTCACAGAGTGTGATCATGGTGGTTTTTGCTGAAGACAAAAGCAGAGAAGATCAGTTAAGGCATTGGAAGTACTGGCACTCCCGCCAGCACACGGCCAAACAAAGGTGCATTGACATAGGTAAGCCGCCAGGAGCCTGCTTCTGTTCCCAGAGGTGCAAGCATCCAGTTTTCTAAATCCAGTTATTTTTGGCAGTGATCAGCTTCCTGCCGAAAGCATTTGAATTTTTATGCCAGCCACTAATCTGTTCCAAACACTGTCCTTGGCCTCCTGGAACCAGTGCTCTTACCCCGGCTTCCTTCACAGGACAGGTGCCCAGGCAGTGGCTTCTCCTAGGAGGCTGGGGCCAGAAGCCATATGGCCAGCTAACGTGACAGTGTCCCCACTTTTCAATGGGCCATTTTTTGAAGGGTAATGTCTTCTGTAAGAGATTCTGATTATTATTTGGTGTTGATGATAAGATGGAGACAAAGACAAATAAGTAAAAAAAATGCTGCTCATGTGCAGTTGCCTGACAGTCTTCCCTGGTCATATATTGCTAGTCTCTCACATCTACGAATAAACCCAGAGGTGCATCACTTGGGGTGTAACAGCAAACCCAAGCAAGTTCGTATTTGTTGAAGTGGCTCTATGTCTATTCTCGTTGTTTATATAGTTTTCATATAAAACCATTATCTGTGTCACAGATGGCTGTTAATGTCAATGTTACTTTTTTCTTTACCTTTTGTAATGCTCACGTTATCTTTTCAGAAGAATTAGAACTGAGTTCTAATCTTGGTTCTGCAGACTACTTTTGTGACCTTGGGGCCATTATTTAAACTTTTTAGGCCTAAATTTCCTAATTTCGATATAATGGGATTGAATTAAATATATCTAAGCTTGCCTCTGTTACAAAAATTCTGCGATTCTTTTATTTTTTGAACTTCTTTTAACCCAGCAAAATATCAATTTAAATTGTCCAGAGGTGGTGATAAGAAAAATGGAATCTTACTTTGAGCTGCTGTAATCTCATGTTGAAACTAAAAATCCTGAATTTCTTTTTCTTTTTCATCGCTTCCTATAGCTGACTATAAGGAAAGCTTCAATACCATCAGCAACATCGAGGAGATCGCTTATAACGCCATTTCCTTCACCTGGGACATTAACGATGAAGCAAAGGTAGGTGATGGAGCTGGTTCTGTGTCTCCAGCTGTTGGAGACGTGGGAGGAGCTTAATGATTTGACAGCTGATTTCTTAATGATGCTTTAATGTGTTTTCATTCTTGGATGTTATGAAACTATCCTTCCCTTCGTAGCCTCCTCCAGAACAGATCGTTTTTGTTGGTGTACTTCAACACATGGAATCCACCTGCAAACTTCAGGATGGAGGTGGGCTCTGCCGCTCCTCAGTGCTTAACCTTGAGTCTGACTCCTCATTCGCTTCATTTCCTCATTTGCAAGGTGGAGTTACTACCTGCCTCCTCCCTCAGTTCTAGGATGATGCAAGGATGAGTGAAACCGTGCCTATCAAACTGCTGGAGTTTCTTCAAAAAAGGCTCTCAAATACAAGTTACCATTAGCAATACTCTCTTTCATATGGTTACCTTGTGAATACGACTCAGTGCCAAGATTCTTCTATCTTGGGCTTTTACAATTGAAGAATTGCCTCCAATTCAGATGGTCATTTGGATAATTCTCATTGGAGATTTTAGTGCCGTTTAAGAAAAGTTAAGCATGTTCTTAAGTCCTTTCTGTCTCCCACAGCATACTTCCCTTTTAGTATAATTGCTCTGTTCACTAAATTATTAGAGTTCTGGTATTTATTCCTTTCTTTGGATTGCTTTAAAAATTGGGAGTTCAAGAAACACAATAGAAACAAGTTACTTTTTGGACAGTTGTTAAAATAAGGTTGATCTTTTAGTTTTTGTCGCAATATAAGGGATACTGTTCTCTCAAGGACCCGATACACGGTGATGTTCAACATTCTATCCTTTTTCAGCCTCCCCTTTTTATTATTTATTATTTTTCTTTTATGTATTCAGCAAGAATTTTAGTAACTTATGGAATAAGACACTGTGTTAGGTAGGTGCTGAGTGTTAGGGTTTCATCTTGTACTGCCCAAGATTGCTTTTAAAAATCTTACGACTGACTTCTTGAGAGTCATGTTAAGTTTGTATTGTATTTGCTTTGTTTTCTTGTTGTGGTCATCGTGTCCAAGGCAAAAGTGTGTCTTTAAGACTGCAGGATGTAGTCGGTTGGGCCCACCAGGCTGTGAGGAGTCTTGGGTGATTGTAACTACACGCAAGTTTTCCCGCCGACCACCATGGCGCACGGCATCAGCAGGCTGCTTTGTCCCAAGTTTGGCACTTGGTTAAGCAGTGAATTCACTGCTGAGGGGCTTCTAGTGGAAAGATAAACTTTCCATCTTACATAATTACTATTACAGTTATTTTGAAATTAAATATCACAGTAGGACTTGGCGCACTGGTACTAAGAGAAGCCTACAAGAAGAGTTGGTCCTGTGCCCCTCGGATGCTTCTGTTCTTAAAGCAAACTGGAGCAAGACTTCCTGGCTGCCCCTGGGGACTAGCTGAGAAATGAGGAGGTGGCAATGAAGGGTGCACAAGCCTGAGTTTGCGTTTCCGACTCGTCTGTGGCCTTGGCTCTGTCCTTTAGTTCACTGGCTCAGCTTTTCCCCTTTGGGACTCCCTAGAAAATGTAAAAGGCTCTAGTGGCCAACTTGTTCCTTTGTTGGGGTGTTGTCAGCATTAATAGGCACTTGTCAGAAGCCGGGAGATCTTGGCTGAAAGGCCCTGCGTGTGGGCAGGGTGCGTGGTGTGTGTGATGTGTCACGGCAGGGCGGCAGTGGGAAAGCCGGGGTGACAGCAGGGATAATGGCAGGCTTCATTCCGGAGGCCTGCAGCGTGCTCGCTGTGGAGAGAAATGTTGTTGGCGGAGCGTCTTAAGTAGGCTTAATAGCATCGCTAATTGATGCAGGTAAATTCAGTTTCATTTCCTCTTCCAGACCCCCAGCACTGCTGTGATTCTGAGCCTTCGCCTGCTCCCGGAAGGGTGTTGGGCCCTTTCTTAATGAGGCTGCCGCCTTTTGAAGCTGATATCAGGCATCAGCTTCCAGTGTGTGTTGCAATTAAGTATCTAGATTTTTTGCTTTCCCTGGCCAAGTTGATGTTTTCTGTTTTTATCCTTAGAGTAATTAATGCCTCAGGGCAGCTAGAGTGAACAAGTGTACATGCAGAATCCTGTATAATTGGTTTCTTTTTAAAATACTTTTTTCTGAAAATATCTACTGTCTTTGCCCACTTTCTGTTCTCATTTAGGATACATTTGTTGATTTTTTTTTAATTTTTAAATTTATAATTGGCACATGATGTTGGAAATATTTATGGGACATTTGTTGATTCTTAATTCCAGTTCCTTTTCCTCCACAGTCCTAGGGGTCTACTGGAGCCATGTGGCATTTCCTCCCTCCTCCCAATTTTAATGTTATACCCTTTTGGCCAGGCCGGGGTGAGTGAAGCCAGAATTCTGGCCTGGTGTCAACATCTGAATCTTATCAGTAGCTTCTGCTTTTCTCTTTGGAGCTGACACTATATTGAGGACATATCAGGTTGAACCCTGCAGGTCTTGGATTGTATTCCACTTTGGGAAAAACACTACACGGACTAGGACTCACCTTATTCGCCCCTGTGCACACTCTGATCCTCAGCATAAATATATGCCTGCCATTGCCACGGGAACTTTAAGAAGTTGTGGAACCTGGCCGGTCGCGGTGGCTCACACCTGTAATCCCAGCACTTTGGAAGTCCAAGATGGGAGGATTGCTTGAGGTCAGGAGTTCGAAACCAGCCTGGGCACCATAGCAAGACCTTGTCTCTACAAAAAATAAAAACATTAGCCAGGCGTGGTGGTGCACGTCTGTAATCCTAGCTACTCGGGAGGCTGAGGTGGGAGGATCACTTGAGCCCAGGAGTTTGGGGTTGCTATGAGCGATGATTGTGCCACTGTACTCTAGCCTGGGAGACAGAGCAAGACCCTATCTCAAAAAAAAAAAAAGTTTTTTTTGGACTTTTTAAAAAATCATTAGTTTCCAAAGCGATGAAAGAGAAGGAATTTGCTATGAAAAGCAGAAATATCTTAGAAACTGTCCCCCAGGGGGCACCAATCTATCTACTGCCTAGACCTATTTCGTTCCTTTTATTGTCCTCTGATAAAATTGGAGAGGTTTGGGTAGTTAGGTGTCTTTCAAAGAGTCAGAGCCTCTGGACGGGTTAAAGTTCATCAGCCGTTCATGTTTTGTTGTGAAATAACTTAATCAGATTTCCTCCCTCTTGATGCACAGCTGAGGTCAGCTGCTTGAGGTGATTTTGGCAGGGAGAAGAGCAATTGCCTTTGAAGCAGTGAAAGATGCGGCTCTGCTAAGGTGCTGAAGTTTAGAATTTGTAGGGCAGGACATGAGGGCGCTGGTCACCTGGAGAAGAGAGGACCAGGAGACGGGGCGGGTGCACACAGCAGGGTGGCGGCAGGGTAGACAGACGCACACTCGGCCCTGTCAGCGTTTCTCCAGAGCCAGCTGTGCATCTCTGCAGGAATTCAGACCTTTGTCCAGCGAATACCTGAGTGCCAGTGTTCCAGGCACTGTGCCGATCCAGGCTACTAACACTAGTACTGGAGTTCAGGTAGATTATGAGTTAAATGGGCTTTTGTGGTCCTGAGATCCTAAATATGACATCATGATTTCCGAGGAAAAATGTGTTTATATCACTTTGCAAATGAACTTTGGGGACACAAACAATTTGTAAAGTGGGGCTCTCTGTTCTGCAAGTTTCAGTATTTTCTAAACCAAGTGAGTCATTCTGAATAGGCTGCACCTCTTGGCCCAGAGTTTAATTTCTTGCTTGGGTTGTAAACCTTAAGAGTTTACAACAACATTGAGATTTAGTTAGTGATACGAAGTAAGGACCTCTCAAAGCCTGAAAAGATCTAAAATAAATAGAAGAAAAAGAAGTTAGAGAGAGAGAATTAACTGCTTTGAGTGCCTGTTACACGGTAGGTGCTGTGCTCAGGGGCCTTACCTGTGTCCACACTTAGTGAGGCCCTTCTACCGCTCCGTATCCGTAAAGCAGCGCTTCGTCCTCCAGATGGTTATGTGTCTGCCGCTCGTTGTCAGAACGAGGCCTTGTGAAGAGGCTGGAGTCTAGACCTCGAAATGGATAGGAAGTGTTCTTGGCAGGGGAGATTATTTAAAAGCATAAGAATTCTTACTAACAGAGCAACGTTATGGACTCACTAATACAAATTCTTCCAGTAGAAGAGCACTTTTTCTGGTAAGAAATAATTTACTTTTGCTTGTTGGATGAGTAACGTTTAAGTACGGAGGAGTGGGAATAATAAACCAGAAAAGCAGCCGTGTTGGAATCCAGTGAGAATCGGACAGCCGACTCGGAGGGAGCGGGTAATCCGGGAACACGAGAGAAAGGAACGTCTGTTGGTGGGTTGGGAACATCTCTGATAGAGATGTACTACAGCTAGTAGGAAAAGTGCTATGGGCGAAGCAAAGCTCGTGATTTCTTGGCTGTCTCTGTGCAGGTGTGACCTGCATGAACGGGAGGCAGACTCTAAAGGATGCCGTGAATCCCAGGGGACGAAATACCTAGCCGATAGGTTTTTTCCTAGTGGTAACATCTAAATCCTTGTATCTAAGGTAGATTTTGTTGCAGCTGCCATTCACACATTTCATTTTCGAAACATTAACAGCAAAGAGTGTCCTGTCAGATGGGTGCCAGCTCCCACTGGAGTAGTAATGGCAGAGAGGTCATTAGACGTAGGGTCTGATTTTGTTTTACTGTATTGTGTGTTGCATGGCTTGGAACGTCCTGGAGATGTGGGCATTTCTCCTGCAGTGCCACTGTGGGAACTGGGTGCTTTTTGTAAGTCTTTTTCCCACCTTCAGAGGGAAGCTCTTCAGCCCTGTTTATGATTGGGTCGCTCGCAGGCAGATGGAACTGCATCTCTTTCTTGGTGGCGTGAGCTTACCTCTGGCTGTGACAGAGCCAGTTTCCGCAAACTTGTCTCTTCCTGGTTCCTTTCCCGTCCGTTTTCCCTTCAGTGTGGTGCCCTGGCCTGCGGAGCAGCGGCGGGGGTGGTCAGAGAGAGCACAG